TTTCAGTTCAGGGCTGTCTGATGGTTGTGCTCCTGGCATTTGGGAGGGATCAATTCTCCTTTGCGCAGGATCACCTGGTACTTCTCAGAATGTTTAGCATCCCAAGCCCCTACCCATCAAAATTTGACTGGAACCCCCTAACCATTTTGACAATAACTACCCCCATCTAACCTACACTTCCAAATGCCCCCTAGTGGCGAGTGGTGCCACTACAAGTTGGTAACTACTAACAGAGAACTATGCACCTATTCCAAAAGATAATCTGGGTCTAAATACAGAAATTTGGGCTTCCCCGGTAGCTCAGGTGGTAAAGAATCTGCCTGCAATGCAAGAGACCTGGATTCGATCCCTGGGCTGGGAAGATCCCCTGGAGAAGAAAATGGCTAGCCACTCCAGTATCACGGCCTGAAGAATTCCATGGACTGTATAGTCCATGGGGGTCACAAAGAGTCGGACATGACTGAGTGACTTTCAAATACAGAAAAAAGAAAAAAAGAAAAAAATGTTCACAATACATGAAGTGAAAAAAATTTCAAGATAAATGGATAGCATCATCACATTTTTGTCCGAAACAAAACAGAAATGTAAGCCTATACACATAGATTCTTGTTACATGCATTCCAAGTGAAAGTGTTAATTGCTCATCATTTTGACTCATTGTGACCCCATGGACTGTAGCCTGCTGGGCTCCTCTGTCCATGGGATTCTCTAGGCCAAAATACTGGAGTGGGTTGCCATGTCCTCCTCCGGGGATCTTTCCAACCCAGGGATCGAACTCTCATCTCCTGTGTCTCCAGCATTGCAGGCAGATTCTTCACTGAGTCACCAGGGAAACTCACACACATTCCAAAAACGTTGGAAAACAGTTTTCTGTGGTTGGCAGAATTATGAGTGATTTTTATCTGCTTGCTTTCTTCGTTTCTTTCCCTTTTTTCAATAGGCAAAGTCTTCCCATTATGGAAAGAGAATGCCATCTCTTGTTTTGGAGAACAAACGGTGATCCACCCAACAACCTGGTCCTCACACCATTTCAATTCTTGTTTTGACTTATCGGAGGATGAGTACTGGCCTCTGCTCAAGCAGCGTGGGATCACCCTTCTCACTCTGCCAAATACTCACCCTCGTTTCAGGGCAGCAGCTGTAATACCAGAGCAAGGACCTGGGAGGTGCTCAAATAAATGTTTACTCAACTGAGTCATCCTCTTCTTGTCTGGATTGGGCCACGCTTGTGTTGACAGGTCCTCCAGATTTTGACATTACTTTTACCCAGTGGTTCTCAGTCAGGGTGCCCAGCTCATCCCCCAGGGGCAATGAATGGTATTCCGATACGTGTCTGGGTCTGGTCAACCCCATGGAGGGCATGGTGAGTGCTACTGGTATCAAGTAGGTGGTGGGGGCCAGGGATGCTGCTAACTATCCTATAATGCCCAGGACTGCCCCGACAGCAAGAATCATTCAGCCTAAACTGTCAACAGCACTGAGGTTTAGAGACCCTGCTCACCATTTCCCTTCCTTACAGCTTGTTAAATAATTTCCAAATTCTTCCTAAAGTATTATCTGCTATAAATGTCTCCCCAGAGCGGTTCTAGGAGACAGAGCGCATTCAGTGACCTGCCGGAGTCTGAAGGGAAATTGGAGCCTTACAGATGACCTCAGACGGGCATCAGGGGAGACTCCAGTTTTCTGTCCTGCCGGCAGGGCTCCCTGCATAATATTAAACGCCTCACCTGGAGCACGTGGAGACAAAGGATCTTGGCAACCTCTCTGATCAGTTTTCAGTTTGGTCATTAAAAAACACACCTTAGAAGCCTTTCTTTTCTGGCATCGATTGTCATCTTTATGCTTTTTTTATACTATTTTAAGAAGGTTGGGTTTTTGCAGCTAGCAGATTTTAATTAAATTAACTGCCCATATTCATGAATACCTCCTTTTAAAAGGAGGGTAGCTTTCGTTTCCATTTTATTTAACTGAAGGCATTTCTCAGAAGAAACAGAATAATAAAGAGTGTCACCCGAGGTATATTACCAACTCCACAACCAGGGAAAAAAATGAAAGGTTTTTAACAAAAATGAAAGCACATTACTCGGAACCCTAACTGGTCCTGAATACTTTGCCTCCAGCACAAAGCATTTTAATATCAATGTAATTTCTCCTGATAGAACAATGTTTTTTCTCAAGTCAGAGACAACTAACATCATATTAAATACCAGAATTTTTATTAGTAAGAGGTATTTAGGTCTTAAGTTTTTCTAAAACCTACTAGGCAACCTTTGAAAAAAAATCTTTAAACCTATAATCAGTTCCATAAGTAACAGACTTTCAAAGATCTTGTAATTTAAAAATCTGAAGACTTTTTTTCATGCAACATGATCCCTTGAAACACCTTTAATACAGATTCATATTTTATTAGGCAAATATAGAGCCCTTCAAATAGCTTAAAAAGATAGTCTCTCTCTAGAGAACGATTTCCTTTCTAATCATCTGTGTCATATAGGTCTGAGTAAGTGTTGTGAATAGAGAAAATCATTTGAAGAAAAATACAATTACAAGAGATGGGAATACTCTGTCATCTGACATAATTCAAACCACTGATTTAATAGCATTAATCATTTTCTTTCAAAACAAATCAAAGAAAGATGTTTTATGTTTCCCAAAGATATTCACTTTGGATGAGGCAAGTGGCCTTCAAAAATATGTAAGCAATCATTTTTGGAATTGATGGATGTCACCAAGCCCTTTAACTTTTGCAACTGTCTATTCTCTTAGGTCAGTAGAAAATGTTCTCTGAATCTGGACATCATAGAATGATATTTAATGGCCTTAGAAATGAATCTACCTAAGTAGGGAACAATGAATGCTTAGGTAGGGAAAATAGCTTAACTTTGGAATTTGAGAGCCCAGTTCAGCAGGAAGCAACATGAACAAAAGAAGGATGGGTCTCTTGGAAGCTGCTGGAAATGAGGTTAGCAAGAAAACGAAACAGGCTCACAGATGTATCGAGGTGTGAAAACTCACTGCTCAAGTACTGGCAGTAGAAGGGTGATGTCAAACACAGATATTTAGTCACCCACCACCTCATCTGAGTTTCCAGACAAACTCAATCAAATACTCTCATTCTTCTTCAACTTATTAACAATACAGTCTTTACTGAAACAGAAGAAAATAAAGCTTTAACCTTAATTTACAAACTGGGAGAAAACTGCATATGGGCTAAGTCTCTCCAGTCGCATCCATTTCTTTGTGAGCCTATGGACTGCAGCCCTCCAGGCCCCTCCAGGCACCTCTGTCCACGGGACTTCCCAGGCAAGAACACAGGAGTGGGTTGCCATTTCCTCCACCAGGGGATCTTCTCGACCCAGGGATCAAACCCACATCTCATGTCTCCCTGCATTGGCATGTGGGTTCTTTAAGTGCCACCTGGGAAGCCCCTGGGAGAAAACATTCTTATTTATTTCTGCTGATAACCCAACACAGAATTCCTTTCAATTCTCACAGAAATTATTTTCTGAGAAAGTTTCCATTCCAAGACATTTTCATCCTAGTAAAAATTAGAATAGAATTCACAAAACTCAAATGCCTGTAGGGTATAGGAAGATGAACACAAAAGGATAAAATGGGCTTAGTGGTGACCAGGCTGATGTGGAGATTTATTCTTTTCAAACTCTGGAAAGAATGTCTCGCATTCAAATCAATGGCCTGCACACCAATTTTTGAGAAAGTAAGATTTCAGATTCTATTGAAAGTAAGATTCCAGATTCTCAAAATTTCAAGATCTAAACATCAACTTTAAAATTAAAATTTTTTAATTATGAGCAATTTCTACGAATTAGTGACTAATTAAAAATTTAAACAATCCTTTGCTGGTTAAACAAATCCTGGTTGTGCGCTCAGAATTCCATCTGTCAAATGACAACCTCATTACTGGAAGAAGAAAAATGAGAAATGGCTAACCAAGGAGATGTTATCAGGGTCCCATCCTCAAGTTCTTGGTGAATTTTTGGGTCTTCCCTCACCATAAAGAACTTTTTCTAAGAGCATCACATCTAAAGTTCCAGAGTTAACCTTTTAGGGCTTTTTAAGCTTTAAAACATTGCCAGACATAGAGAAGATCTCCAGGGGAAGAACCTTTCTATGCGAGGGGAAGGGAATAGTGGTCAAACATTGAGGCTGGGATAAACCTTACTCTCAAAGATGTGCAAGGAAGATCATGAAAGTATCCAGCTTACAGGAGGGGCTTCTAAACCAACAGGAGGCTGGAACAGGAGAAAATTCCAAAGACCAAGAAATGCAAAGTGGAGGTTGTATATGATTGAGAGAAATGCAGTGACACAGAAAGAAACCAAGTTCATCTAACCAAGCCAGTAGTATTTACAGCCTGCGGGCAGTGCCAAGATGTTTCAGGAAGTGCCAGCATCTTTCTCTGTCAAGCTGGGCCAAACTTTTCAGCGCAGCATCAGATCACTAGGTAAATCCTCATTTCCTTACTCTCCTTTACAAAGAATCTAAACATTAAGATTGGTGGCCAATGTAGGACACCCCTTCCCTCTCCAAAAATGCAGTTTCATTACCTAATGTTTCTAGATGTTTCTAGAAAATCTTTTGCTAACAGCTTAAATGGAAATGCAGAATGAATTAGCTCAGTTTCATTTCTCTTCCTGGTTTTCCGCTGGGGACCCAGACGTCTTCATCCCATAAAGCAACATCTTCTTGGACTCAGCACAGTCAGCTCTTCCTTCTGAACTGGAATGAGGAAGGACGGCCGAAACCAAGGTAAAAGCCAAACCCGTAACTGCCCTTCTGTCAAGACTGGTACCTCTGGGACTTCATCAGGAGGCCTGAGGCTAAGACTCTGCACTCCCAGTGGAGGCAGCCAGAGAATCCTTGCTCAGAGAACTAGATTCCATATGCCACAACAAAGAGTTCACAGTCACAAATGAGGCTCAGGGCAGCCAAATACATAAATATTTAAAAAAGAAGAAGAAGAAGAGAAAGGATAGTACCTGTTCAGGCTTCAGGCCCGGCGGGACCCAGGCGTACTCCTCCAGGGCACAGCCCGAGTCGTCGTCTGAGGTCGAGTTCCTCTGGAAGTCAAATATGAGCTTGCTGACTGTCTTCTCCATCGCCAGGGGCATCACCGTCACCATGTGCTCCTCCTGAGGGCACTTGCAGTGCAGGCAGATCTTCCTGCGAGCAGCAAAGGCAGGAGGTGAGCAGGAAGGCAAAAGAAAGCAGTTTTTCACCTGGCCTGCCACTCACCAATCCATAAACACATTCCTTGGAACTGGCTTTTGGCAAAAGCATCTAAAGGAGTGTTCCACACCCCGCCTGTTGTTGTAGAAGGCGTGGCCCTGAGTACCTGCAAAAAGCCCCTGAACAGTCAGGGGCCACCAGGTAAGCATGCTAAGGACATTTAAACATGGACACCGACCTCTTCTAAATCAGTATCCCAAGAGGCAAGTCAAAATACCTTTTATTTTACTAGGTAGAACACTGGATATGCACCATGACCACAATTTCCTCAACTGGAATAGTAATTAAATATATACCATACATAGTCAGACCAGAAATATTACCAGGAGATTTAACAATACTGACAACATTCCATTTTTATAAAAGGTTTCCAGACCTTAGGAAAAGAAAGTGGTTTTAAAAATAACTGCAGGTGAGATTTTAAGAAGAGTAAAAATAGTTTTTTTTCCCCACGAAACAAATCTGACCCTAAGATCTCCTGGGAAAGACATTTTCATCTCCACTGAAGATCCTTGTGGGTTTGAAATTCTAATTAGAAACCCTAAATTACCCCACATTGGTAGCTGTTTCTTTAATGTACAAGAGCATCATGCATGTGAAGTATTTCAAAAGATAGCAGCCAAAGACACAATTCTCTCCCCCAAATTGAACATTTCTCTTTTAAGATTACCATCTGTTCCCTTTTCCATGGCTACAAAAATGATGAAGCAATAAAAACGTTGATGTCAGCAACACAAAAGCACTTTTAGCTTCCACCAGTGAAATAAAAAGTAAAAAGAGAGGAAAAAAGTAAAGGAGGAAAAAGATTTTAAGAAAATAAGCTGTTCTACCTGCACTCTGACCTCTAGAATTAGTTTCAGGAGCACCTTATAAATGTGATGAGACAGCCCAGAATTCTAATCCCCATGTGTCTGAATTTTTCGACAAAAGCTTTGTGAAGATATAATTCACATACCATAAAACTCAGCATTTTAGAGTGTACAATTCACTGGTTTTTAGTATATTTACAGAGATGTGACACCACCACCATTATCGAATTTTAGAACATTTTCTTCACCCTCAAAAGAAACTCCAAGTGCATTATTAGCAGTAACTTCTCACCCTCCCCTCCCCCGGGGGCCCTGATAACCACTAATGTATTTTCTGTCTTTAAGGTTTTACTTGTTCTGGAAATTTCTGGAAATTCCACATAAATGGAATCTTACTACATATAGTCTTACCATATACATAAATGGAATTTTACTATATACAGGCTTCTTACACATAGCAGGATGTTTTCAAGATAAACTCATGCAGAAGCACATGTCAATCTTTCATTTCCTGCATTATAATACTCCATTACATGGATATACTACACTTTGTTTATCCATTCATCAGTCAGTAGACATTTGGACTGTTTCCACTTTTCACTGTTTTTGAATAATGCTACTCTACTGATGTGCAAGTTCTCCGTATGTTTTCAATTCTCTTGGGTATTTACCTAGGAATGGAATTGCTAGATCATACAGTAACTTTATGTTTAACATTTTGAGGAACTGCCAAACTGTTTTTCAAGATATCTACATCTTTTTACATCCCCACCATTAAGGGATGAGTGTTCCATTCCCTCCACTTGTGTCACACTTGTCGCTGTCTTTCTCTGTGATTGTTGCCTGGTGGGTGTGCAGTGCTGTCTTACCAAGGCTTTGATTTGTACTTCCTTTATGACTAATGATGTTACACATCCTTTTATGTGATTCTATGTCTTATTTGGAGAAATGTCTATTCACATCTTCAGTCCATTTAAAACTGTCTTTTTATTGTTGAAAGAATTCTTTATATACTTTTTGGATACAAGTCCTTATCAGATATATGCTTTGTAAAATTTTCTCTCATTTGATAGACTGTCTTCCCTTTATGATGAAGTCCTTTGAAACACCTAAGTTTTTTATTTTGAGCAAGTCCACCCCCCCCCCCCCGCCCCGTTGTTCTTTCTGCTTTTGGTATCATATTTAAGGAACCTAAGGTCATAAGATTTACTCTTGCATTTTCATCTAAGAATTTTATGGTTTTAGTTCTTATTTATGGGCCTATGACCCATTTTGAGGTGCTTTTCATATATGGTATGAAATAGGAATCCAACTTCATCCTCATGTGGCTATCTAAGTGTCCCAGCACCATTCAACTCACTTGCATTGACCCTCGTCAAAGATCAGTTGGCCATAAATGTAAGGATTTATTCTGGACTCTCACCTCAACTTCATTTCATATTTTGGTCTATATTCTCTTCTTATGCTAGTACCATACTGTCTTCATTACTGCTCTTTTGTAGTAAGTTTTGAAATTGTGTAGTGTGAGTCCTCCAACTTTCTTCTTTTAAACATTTTTTTTTTTTTACCTTTTGTGGGCCCCTAACATCTGCACTATAAATTATAAATTTTAGGGTTATCTTGCCATTTTTTGAAAAAATTTAAGCTCAGATTTTGACAGGCACTGTGGTGAATCTTTAATTTGGAGAGTACTGCTATCTTAACAATATTAAGTCTCCCAATCCATGAACAAAGAATGTCTTTCTATTTATTTCCATTTTTTGAATGTGTGTATTCCTTAGGACTTTCTATATACAAGACCATGTCATCTGTGAATAGAGATTGTTGTATTCCTTCCTTTTCAATCTAATGACTATTTTTTCTTTATCCTGTCTTATTGCCTTGCCTAGGTCCTCCAGTGATCCTAAGGTGCAAATGTCTAAGCTGCTCTTTGTCTTGTTCCTGACCATAAGGGAAAGCAACCAACCCTTCACCATCAAGTATTAGATAATTGTGGGATTTTTTTGGTAACTTTTCTTCATTAAGTTGAAGAAGTTTTCATCTATGCTAGTCATTGAGAATTTTTAATCAACAAAGGGTGTTACATTTTGTCAAATGCTTTTTTTTTTTTTTTGCATCTATTAAGATGATCAGTCAGGGTATTTTTTTGGTCCCTATTCTTTTAATGGCCTGAATTTTGATACCAAAATGTACTTGAAGAAACAGAATCAGTTTTGTCCAGCCAAGTGAGGCTTGTCAGATTCTTCTACTTCCTGCTTTTCACCTGACTGAATATATACACGAAGAGAATGCACACTGGGATCTGGTTTGCATCTCCAAACTCAGAGAAGTTTTATCCAAATCTTGGCTGTTGCTTTTAAAAATAGCTTGAGCTCATTTTAAGAGTAACTCGTTAATTAATCACCTACTGTAAAGAAGTCAGGGGTCTTGGGAAGCAGTCTAGGTTTTTTTTTCCCCCTCCAGAACTTTTTACATCAGTGTATGACTTAAGGGTAAAAAGTCTCCCTACGTTTAAGCAAGTCTAGGAAGCTCTTCGGTGACTAATGGTTTACCAACAAGTCACATTTTTAGAATAAAATGTAGATATTTTTTCCTAAATTCAGTCTCTATAATATTCATCAATGAAACTCATTTATTCAGCAAGGCCAGTAAGAGCATACTTTTTAATGCTGGACGGACACAGTCTAATGAACAGAAGCTCCAGAAGAAGGAACAAAGATAAAAGCAAAACAGAATTAAAGAACCAGATTCATAATGAGTCTCACTGAATAGAAGCCTGAACAGAGGAGAAAGAGAAGAGGGCTAAGAGTCCTCTTTAGTCATTTCACAAGTACCGCCAATTACCTACCATCTGCCAGGCACTGCTCTAGACACTAGTCATACCCAAGCAAAAGAAACAAAGATCCCTCCCCTCATAGAATCTATATACTCAGAGGGGGAGAAACATACAATAAACAACAACAAAAAGGAACATATCATTCAATCAAGTAGTATAGGAAAGATGCTCAGGGCAACACAAAACTAGAATGGTGAGGCGAAATGAGGGCAAGCAGGACTTGGGTGAGGGCACACAGGAGCAAAATGACTTGCTTCTATGACTTGCTTCTACCTGACACCCGTGAACTCAGATTTGCACACCACTCCTCCAAGAAAGGGACTATCACCTCCACCTTCCAGGGAAGAAAACAAAGCAGAACAGAGATGCAAAGTAGGATCCATCTGACCCCCAAACCCTATTAATACTCTATGAAAGGCATACCTCATTCCCACCAGAGAGCAGCCTTTTGTTCAACAACAAACACGTTCAGAAAAATCAAAACCAAACAGGGAAAAAAGGAGGAGGAAAAGAAACAAGCAAAAAAAAGGTAAATCAAAACCATCAGGACCTTATGTATTTTCCCTGTCAGCTGTCTGCCTTCCATTCCTCATTTATAATTAACAAGCACTGCTGTGGCAAGGCATTTTTATTTGCAAAGAATTTTTAACCTTTGAGTGCTTCCATGACAGCCTTTGGAGAGACTAATTTAATAACTCCTGTTTACAAATGAGCAACGGCAAGGCCTAGATGCTGAGAAAGGTGCGGAGGGTCAGAGGTAAAGCCAACAGGATTTCTCTTGATTCTCACGTCTTTGTCTCCCTCTTGGCAAAATGCACACAACACCCAAGAGCTCTCGCTTTCCACACACTGATTAAAGCTTTTCAGGAGAGCGTGGGGAAATATATGATTTGGTTTTGGTTTTTTTCTTTTTTAAATAGACATTTATGAAGATAGAACCTGCTAGTAAAGCAGGATTTCATTAAAAAAAAAAAAACAAAACCCAATCATACAAAGCGTGCATTGGTTTCATTCTGTCAGAGTTGACATTCTACCTGTACATAATTGGGTTTGTGAATGACAGGTTTCCAAGGAACAAGGCATGATTCAGAGAGCAGAGCTCCTGCATCCTCCGTCCTCCCTCTGTCTACCCAGCAACAACCCTTGCCACCCCATCAACCTAAAGTTGCAGCTATGAATTCATTCGCTTTCATATTCAGAAGCCACAACTGGCTCTTCCATGACATAACCAAGACCAGCAGATGAAGGCTCTTCTTTCAACTGTCTCAAAGTACTCTGGTCATTTACAC